CGGCACGTGCTGGCGCTAGGCATGCCCATGTACACGCGGAAAGACCGGGTAACTTGATAGCCGTGCTGAAAACTATAGCTGGTGCAAGCGATCCCTGGGACCGATCTTGCAGGCAAGGTGGGAGACAACGTTGAGAATCGTGTCATGTGTGAGCAACGCGTAAATCCTTGGAACCCGGGCTGTGGAAGCGCTTCCTACAGACTTCCCCTCTGGCAAACATACCCCCCCCTCAGCTAAATGTCCCCCTGCTTAGAGTTGAGACACACACAGACACACACAAACACACACACACACACACACACACAGACACACAGACACACAGACACACAGACACGCAGACACACACACACACAGACACGCAGACACCCACACACACACACACACCTACACACCTACACACACTCTCTCTCTCTCTCTCTCTTGCGTTGTGATTCCAGAGTAAGAGATTAACAGGCTTTCATGAGCCGCAGACAACACGCAACCTTGATTTCTACCCTGATAAAAGCAAGCTGTTGAAAGGGCTCTGGCTAAAGGCTCCGGCATGCATGCAGGGGCAAAGAGGTGAATGCATTGGGCTTGAAATGAGTGTCCAACGAGTTTAGTGGCACGTCAATTTCAGGTGCACATCCAGCTCGTTGATTTTGTCATGCAAGTGCTTGGATGCCGCGTGAAAGTGTTCACCCCGCTGTACAATATGCTCAGCTGCTTGTACCATGGGGCACTTGTATCGACACCTGAAACTGGAAGAAAAACACCCCCCAAAGCATGACTTTGGGCCAAGGGATAAGCCTTGCCGCCAGTCATATTCCTGCTCCGATCAGATCCAAGACATCTGCCCGCCTGAGCATGCTCTCGAGCCCCGCTCAAGACCCCTTCACCAAGAGAAACCTTCCTCCTCGGGCCTTCTCTCAGGTCATGTGTGTAGGATACTTGACTGCGCGGTCCGGCGTCCGACCTGAAGACTAAAGTAAACACAACAATCACACGTCGCAAGAACAACACGTGCAACTAAAGCCAAAAGAGAGCAGTGACCGCGACATGCAATGAGAGTTTAACGATAATGGCTGTCGATGGTTGCTAGTCGTCCTTCGAAGGGGAATGGGTGGATCATTCCCAGTCCAAACTACGTACATGGTCTTTTGACCCAGGAGAACAGTCTAAACCCACCTCGGCACAGCCCAAGCGATCCGTGCCAACTGAAGAACCAAACGCACGCAATGCAAGCACCTGGCTTTCTCTGGTATTGCTTTTGCACATTGGCTGGCATGCAGTTTCTGACAGTGAGGCAGTCAGCCCAAACAAGCAGAGGACCCAACATGAGAAGAGGCCCATTTCGTGCAAGCCCTTCTGATTGGCCCGATCGCGCCAGCCAAACTCCACTGATGGGCCTTGGGGGGGGGGGGTCCTAAGGGGGAGATGCTCAAATCAGCGCAAATTGGCTTCTATGCCATGCTTCAGATTGGCAAAGATTCAGCGACGCTCAAAAAAGACGATAACGGCAGAACCGTGCCACGGTGCCTCAGATGCAAACCTGTGATTGCGCACAATTTGTTTCGGTTGAGTATGTGTCGAGAAAGGGGGATTCCAATATGGTTGCCTGCTTGTGGCTCCCTTTAAAACCCAAAAAGGGGCCCTCCATTTTGAGAAACTCGAGAGTCTAGGGGTTGATTCCCCATTCTGTTCAACCATCGTTCTTTCCTGAAATTGTTAATTTGTTTTTTTTCCACCGGAATTTCTATTTTTTAATGTTCGTACTTATGTATTTTCTCCGTATTATATATCTATATTTGTTTTATTTATGTTTATCTATTGTTGTTTGAATATATATAATTCAATTAGGTTGCTATTTATACATAATTAAATTTAATTTATATTTTGAGAAAGAAGGATACCTGGAAAGAATGGAAATGGAAGGTACCCCTAGAGAGAGATGCAGTTCCCCCCCAACCGCTCCACGCTCTCCGGAGAGCGCCTGATGGCATGGCACTATATTGTACCGCCTGGCCAGCGGAAGCCGTTGCTCCCCACAAAGGGGCGCCGAGAATCAGATTACTTACATAACGCGCGGTTCCCCACGTGGCTGTGAGTCAAAACCAATGAGATCCCATTTGGGGGTAGGTCCACCACCCATTTTAGAACCTACTTTAGTGGGCATTGGGATGTTCACTGGGGGTACGGGATTCTGACCGATGGCCATGTTGGTTTTGTCATCCCAGTTATCCCCACATGGATCGCGGGGATCGTGCCATTTGACCCTAAATAAAAGAAAGCTCAACTGCTTGTTCAAGCATCCGCACTCCAAAAAAGACAGGCAAACAGGATGCTTCAAGACGCAACACGGCATTCCTAAGAGAAACTTACACCACTCATTCGGAAGCCCAACCGAGCTGTTTGACACTCCCTTTGAGATGGTTCAGAAAGCTTGAACGAGCTTTCACCATCCAGAGATCCAGAAGCAATCATTGCACCTGTGCAACAAATCAGTCTGATTTGGCAAACGTACAATTTGGGTTGCCCCAATATGGGCACAAGGTACGTGGGAAGGGCCGTTGGCCAATTGATTGAAGCCCTGGACTTCGTCAGAGGACTGCCAACAACCTGTGTCTGTCTCCTTTTGTTCTTTTCGTTTTTTCGGTTGCAACCCTACAGAACGGTGGCTTTCCTTGCGGTGCCTTTTTCAAACCAAAGAACGGGGAACCCTGAAGAAAGGACAGACCCGTACGACCATCGCTTGATCATGGACGAAGCCTGCTGCACAGGCCGCTGGTAGTAGGCCTCATCCAGTGGCACATGGAACCTGCATTGAACACCTATGGTCCTATGGTCTTCACATGCCTGCCAAAGTAGCGTGGCTTCCATAGAACATTTCAGTCGTCAATGGGTCAAACCACTGGAAATAAACATGGCACATGATAACAACTCATTCTGGAAGCTTCTTTGAGCTATGGCAACAACTCCTTTGTGCTGGCAATGGGCATCGCTTCCTAGATAAGGATGATTGTTTGAAGGTTGTCTACCCCCGTGTTTAAGACTGATTGCCACTGCCTTGTGTTTCCACGCAAAAAGAAACAAGGCGCTTGACGGAACCACAAATATGAGATACCGCGAATATGCAGGATGGTTCTGACACAGATTGAACATGGTGCCTTTGCCGAAGAGGGCGACTGAAATACTAAGCGCTGCTTGTTCTTGCGACCAAGCCGATGCTGAACCCTGCACGTGAGGGTCCCTTGATCAATGGTCAACGTAAGGGTTGTCAGAAGGGCGCTGGTGTGGAGAAGCAGCTGCAAGCCCAAGTGATCGAGCCCCCTTTTGCCTGTGAAACGCCTTCGCAGTCACGACCCCCTTTTGCAGATTGGCCCAAGCAAACCCCCGCCGGACAGCCGAAGGTTTGCTACCCGCAAGTCCTGCCTCTGACCCACAAAAACACAATCCTTGAATCTACAAAGCTAGGCAATTCTGCGACGGTCGTCTCATGAAGCAAGTGCTTTGCTCCGGCACAAGGGCATCAACAAGCACCTAGAAGTGTGACAGGTTGCAGTTTTAGACCAGGTTTGGGCCAAACCCAGTTCAAACATGCGTAACACATCCTTTGAAACAACCGGTTGGTTCCGCTTTCAAAGTGCCCAGGTCTCACCAAAGTTGCAACAAAACCCCGAGGCTTGCCAAGATCGCGAACGTCTGCTGCTTATCTTAGATGTGCTCTCTAGGCAAGTGCTTGGAGTGGGAAGATATGAGTGTGTCGGTTGTTTAAGCGCTCCGTTCGAGGAGGTGTTTGAAGGAAAACCAACAGGAAACCCATCACTCCGGGGTCGCCCGGCCATGGCAAAAAAGGGAATTGTACCAATCCCACCGAGCATGCCATGGCCCCGGAGAAACCCCGCCATCCTTCCCGCGGCGTCTGCAAGCCCCTTTTTGTATCTCTTAAGCTCTCTTTCTGCACCCGCGGTTTAGGGCGTCGGGATCCCGCTGTGAGGCGCTCGCTGGCCTAGGGCAGGCTCAGTGAGAGGCACCCTGTGAGGTCCTGTATGCTTCTTTTCTCTCTCTCTCTCGCGCTCTCTCTCTCTCTCTCTCTCTCTCTCGTTCTCTCTCTCTCTCTCTCGCTCTCTCCCCTTGTGAATGTTCCTCAAAGCCTGAACATGAAATGATTCACGACAAGAATGAGGGCAAGACACTGTGCACGGGGGTAAGTTCACATCAATCGGCGCCGAAATCTAGGGGAACACACAAATTCACAGCGCCAACTCCAAAGCACCAATCCATGGAATACGATGTTGGAGGCAATCATGCACAAACATCTTGGCCAAGGCAGGCGCAACGAAACAATCTCAGAGCTTCAGCCCAGCTGGAATTAAGACTCTGAACTACAGGCCTCTTTCTATAGCAACAGTTTTTCTTGACAGAGCGGCTCTCCAAATCATCCCAAGATACAAGTTTGTGGAAAATATGTTCTTTTTCCTGTGCTAATTCAGCCCTGAGCCCCAAGGGCCCGGAACTTGCAGGTTGACCTTTCGGAGCCTATCAAGATAGGCCCAAAGGGGGGCAAACCAGAGGCTTCATCGGCAAACCGGACAAGTGGGTTCATGGAAGCTGCGTCTCCTGCAATCCTGTAGGGTCAAAAGGTGCGGCTCAACGCGCATCTCAAAGGAGTATGGAATCTCGTTCTCGGTTTGCACGCGGAGTGCGTGTGCGCGTTTCACCCAACTTGGATCGTCCTCCCACTGATGTGGGTGCAGGGAAGGGTCCGCAATTTTTGGCCCTCTTGCAGAGTGATCGCTCAAAGCTCTACCCTCTTTCCGATAATGATAGAAGTGGACAGCAGGGGTTGGGTAGACAACTATCCTCTCGCAAAGGACCCGTGTCCAACTTCTATGATTGTTGGAAAAAGGGTAATTGAAGCTTGAAGCGAGCTCAGGCAAGAAGCTGAGCTGCGAGCTTGCAACTGCATCCAATGCGCACTGGGGTCTCGGCGGCGTGAGGACTGAGGTTGAGCAGGACGCTCATGCCTGTCGGAAGCAAACTGCCAGGAGTGTCACAAGCTGCAGGTTCCTGGAAGCTTTACACCCAACTTCCCGCTCATGAAGCTTGATGCTGTGAATTGGGTGATTGGCCTCATTCTGCATGGCCAGCGTTTGAGCCGTCTGTAGAACAATTGTCCCTCGCTGAGTCTCTTCTCAGCATAAATGTGCAGCGGAATACATTAGTATAGAATCACAAGCCGGAAGTCAGGAATAAAGACAAGACATCTCGTGACTGTCGCTTTTCATGCTGCTGTTGTTGCAGACCGGACCAGCGGGGCGAGACATCAGCAAATCAGCAAGGTCGGCCGTCTCGATTCGACCGGAAACTCGGATGCGCCCGTGTTGTTGGCACCTAGAAAAGCACGAGCCACTAAAGGCTTGATCCTAGAAGACGGGATAAAATGGGTTTTCATGGTCGCTTGAACCTCAAGCAATGAGGTGACCATACCAAACCTTACCCAGCAAGATTGCACGGGACGGGAAAGACAATTGGTACTGTTTCCAATTGCAAATTCTTATGCGTTTAAAAGACCTTGTCATCTTGTCCAGGCCCATTGAAACACATCAACATGCTCTACTAGTCGGATCAACCGAGGGGGGCTCGTCTCATCTACACCAGCTGGAAGATGTTCGACTGAAGATACGGGTGAAGTTCCGAACACTGCCGGAAGCTTCTGTATTCTGTAGAAATTACAGATGCAGCTGATGGTTCTACTGACAGGACGGGTTTGTCTCAGAAAGGAAGCCCCTCCAATCCTCCAACAGGTGATTTCCGTTTGGATTGCCTCGAAACCAAACCCAAGAAGGCAATCCTCGCAAAAGACGCACCCAAGGAACTGGCCATGCCCTATCCAGCCTCTGCCTGAGCAATTGCCTCGTCCATGTCCTGAGTGAAGCCAGGATCACTCAAGAAAATCGAAAGGATGGTCCTGTGATCCAACTGGATACTGGAAGAGCAGTTGGCATCCTAGAAATTGTGCTTGTCTAAGTCTTGCATATGATCACCTCAGCAACATCAAGCAAGATGCCTTGCCAAGTTTCACATACTATGAACTCGTGGCTTTGTGTGCATCGCTGCTCCCAGTGTTTAGCGGAAAACGTGTCTGTCTCATGCCGAGCTGGAATTCAAGCAAGGTTCCCAAACAGTGTGAACAAGGCTCGGCGAAACCCCCGCACTTGCGGCTTTCCTGTTTGGAGGCGCCTTAGTGCTGAGTGTGTGCGCGCCATGCTTCGCATCGGAAGCCAGCCTGCAACCCCGCCAGCCCAATCATGTTGCGCAAGGCATGTGGTCCAGGCTGGAAACGATTTTGCCCGCCTTGAACTCTGATGTATTGTAGGTTTTGAATGTTGGCGTCACAAGAGTATGCTTTTGGCATGTGGATTAAAGTGCGTGGCTCCATCAAGGTCTTATGATAGAACAGAACCTGCGGAAAACAAATAATCAAAAAACAAATCGACCTCTGCCCAGCGGATAACTGACTGGCATGGGGGATAAAATCCTACCTTTGCTGGATGTCTGCTGCTTGCCCCAAATTCTGAAGCTCATCCGCACCCCTTTGCACCGTGGAGTCCAAAACAATCCCTGGCCGGGGGACTTTTTTTGAAGCCCATGCCCACCCCTCCGCCTGAGTTCATATGTGTGTCCTATCCCGAGAGCCGGATAGTTCTCAAGCCATACTCACACCACACACCAAGCGCGGACCCCGTGCAAAAGAACCATTCGCCTTCACAGAAGAATAGAACTTTGTAAAGCAAAGGGTCAAGGTCAAGTTTTTATCAGCGAACCAAGAGGTCAAAAGTCATAATTCCCTTGGGCAAGTGAGTATCACATGCCCGTGCCCATGTTCCATCACAGAAGACCATCCAGCGAAGCCAAGCCTCCAAACCCGTGCCCCACCCTACCTCAACCCCCCCCCCCCCCGGGAAGCGAAGCGAACCGGCCTCTTCGTCACCCGCAATCTCGGAGAACTCCGCATGCCACCTGAGATGGCGTTGGATGCGTGGCCCCATGGTTTCCTTTTTTAGGTGTAAAGGGAGACCAACAGAAAACCTACGGGGTTTAAGACCAAGGGATTTACGGGATCCCTATTTTGAGAAACATTTCAGAGATTCACCCACAGCCCCTTCCACCTCCTGCGTCGGGATCGGTATGAGGGATGCAGGGGCCTGGAGCCGCCAAGTTGCCAGTAGAAACTCAGCAGCATCACCACCTTGGTTAACCGACAGCCCTCAATAGGGAACCGCTTCTCAGTGGTTGGTGGTTACCTGAATCCCCACCTGCTCCCCTACAAAATTAACATGGAACCCAGAAAGTCATCCATAGAGGCATCTCCTTTTGGGGGACCCCGACATTGGTGGGTCCATGTTCATTTAGGGAGCGGCTTCAGCTTGCCTTTGCACTTTTCCAATCCAAAACCACCAGGGCCCAGGCCGTGTGCGCGGCTTTAAAGACCATGCGCCACATGGGTGGCAGGTAGCAGCCCTCGCTTTTCTGCGTCTGCCCCTGAAGGTTCCCGTCGGCTGCCCCAAGATGAGTGTTGAACGGCTCAGTCCGGCCTTTCGGTTCGTTTTGAAGGAAACTGAAAGGAAAACCGTTGCCATTGTTGTTGGGGGGTCCCCTGCAAAAAGAGACACTGGACACACAAAAAGAGAGCCTGAAACTGTCCTGAGCATGTCGCCTGCTTCCTATGGCCGAGCATCGGTTTGTCTTTTAAGGAACGTATGATTCAACGCGAGTGTAGCAAAGACCCAAACGAAAAAAGGGTAGGCTCAGCAGCACTCCAGGCTACCAGAAAGTTTAGGCCAGAAATGAGACACCATTTGGTTCCAAGTACATCATGACAGCAAGTTGCATGATTCCGCGGCCCGTGTTCCTTGACCTGTCAAAACAAGCCGCAAGAGTTCTCCACGCCTTTGCAAAGCCACCCTTCTGCCACACATAGTAAAAGGCCTGAAAAACAACTCCCCTCCTTGGAAATCCAGATTTCTGCATGTTTTAGAACAGTTCCAAAAGCTGAGCTACGGGATCCCCAAGTAAAGGACCTTTATTTACCATGGTCAGGATTCTCCAAGCGCTCGAAACCACGTTGCCGCCGAGGAAAACCATCCCAAAAAAGGGGCCTGGTAGACTTCCTCGTAGGGCTCGCACCGCTGCAGCGTCGAGCACCAGTTGTAGAGGCCATGGAGAAAGATGGGCGGCAGGAGGTACTGCACTCCTTAGAGCTCCGGCAACTCCCAGATCGATCCCCGGAAAAAACAAAAGCATACACAAATATGTGGCCATGGGTCAAAATCCAAATCGTACCCCCAGTGAACATCCCAATCCAACCACTAAAATAGACTAAAATGGGTGGTGCACCTGCCCCAAAATGGTACCAATGGTTTTGACCCACAGCCATATGACTCCCCGGGGAAGAAAAAAAAACGCAACCAGACCTAGTCCCTTTTGGGGATTGACATGGGCGATGGAAATATGGAAGAAGTCTTCAACAAATCTTCTGGTTTCCCAGTCAAAATCAAGGGCTGGTAGTTTGAACAATTTCTCCTCCTTTTTGCTCGGAGAGCAGCACTGTCAGATGTGTGGCACGACAATCAAATGCAACATGGGTCATGGGACCTGGAAACAATTGCAAAACAACATTCCATCCCAAACAAGCGGATAGGGCACCAGAAGAGAGAAACTTGAATTCAGATGCCAAGGATTTCCCATGCCCAGCCCGGTCTCTAAAACAGTTCACGTCCTCTGGGGACCCCGGCGGCTGCGGGGCCGGGCAGGATCACCCTCCGGCAAAAACTGCCACTTCGCGAGGCCACAGGCCGCGTAGCCTCTCGTCCGTCCCAATGCAAAACCATGACCCAGAAATGGAAACAACTGGTTCGCCTTTGCTTTCCAGGGGCAAGGCAGGCTGGGGGGACAGAGCCATGTTGACAGTGCTTGCCCTGACCATCAGGCTGGGCTAACACATGCTCTCGCGGTCAGCTGAGCCGCGGAAAATATTCGTTGTTCCACAAGAGGACATGGGACAATTGATTGGGTGGCCCTGCTTTTTTTGTCTGTCGATGGTGTTGGGTGGCCAAACGCACCCCCTCTTCTCCCGATAGTTCGTTGAATGAAAGCTAAAAGGAACCACAGCTCGCCCAACGGCGCAAGTCCTTTGTTCGTGCAAGCTCATGCCTTGAAAGCCGTCTGCACACAAACAGTATGAGGACCGTGGCATGTAGACAGAAGTCACTCAACTGGAAATCTCAGATTGGGGATGAGCTGATGGTCCTCTTCCTTATCCCAGTGAAAGCCAGTAAGCAACTCGACCATCCGACTCATCTCTGCACGTCTAAAAACATCCCAACACCATGCGGGTGGCGTCTTGAAATTGTTTAAGCTTCTGGCATGCGAACTTTGCTGGCCTCAAGGGCAGTGGTCATGGCTCCTGTTTGGCTTGGCATCTCAGGCGGTTTGCCTTTTCACCAAGCCTCTCGGAGTCGCGCGAGTCGCGCGAGTCGCCCGGACGCGCGCGCGGCGCCTGTCCACACCATGTGGGCGAAGGAGGCCGCGATGCGGCCGTAAGCAGACTCGAGGTCGCCCTGGGCCATTCGTCACCCATCCCTCTGAAAACCTTCTGGTTTCGTTGAGAACATGGACTCCATGTCGCCAAAATGCAACAAGTCCAGAAAGGGGCACCCCTCCCAAAAAAGACGCATCACAACTATTCAGTAAACCGCATAGCGGAATCTCGTCCACAAACACCTGACGTGAAGTGCTGCGTTTAGCATGTTTAGCGCCTCTTAGGACCGCGACCAAACGTGCAGGACGTTCCCTCCGTGCTTTGAGCTGGTCATGTATCGCTCCCTCAAAACAGCCTCGACGAAAGCCTTGTCGATGCTTTCTCGACCTCGGCCGACACATTTGGATGGTCTATCTGGTGGGGCCTGAAGAGCAAGGACCCTCAATCGACCTGGAAGCTGAGTTCAGGTTGGGAAAAACAAAAAATCTCGTGCACTTCTCCGCACATTGGGAGGGTCGCAGTTGCCACAGCTCATGCACAAAGTAGTGCAGCTCATTCAGCCTGCGCGCCAGGCCCCTGTAGAAAAATGGATCACGAGCGTCCACACTTTCCAAGCGGGATTGTTAACATGGGAAAAAAAAAAGCAACAAAACACAAACATGCAGCCTCACTCTTCCCCCTTTTATGGCTGCAACCCGCTGTCCAGGCAAGTCAGGTGGTCATTGTTGACTGCGGTTCTCCAGGAATACCAGGCAAACCACAGGGGCAAGCACTTGCCAGCGCAAACCAAAGGGCGAAGCAAAGGACCTTGTAAGTGTAAGTCACCTCGGCAAGTGCCTGTGCGGCCGAGGGGCTGAAGATATACATGAAATTCTCCGTGGTGGCCAGGCCACCACCCGCGGCGACACCGCAGAGTGCGACCTCAAAACTGCCATCGGCCGAGGTTGGAGGAGGTGAAGTGCCTTTGATCTGTTTTCCGTTTTAGCGTCGAGCAGAGTCGCCCTGCATCGGGGAGAGAGACAGAGAGAGAGAGAGAGAGAGAGACAAACAGAGAGAGAGAGAGAGGGAGAGAGAGAGAGACAGAGGGAGGGACAAAGAGAGAGAGAGAGAGAGAGAGAGAGAGAGAGTACTCTCGAATGCCGGTCGGTGTTTCCTGTCATATCCCCAACTTAAAGTATACACTGGAAGAACTAATGTTGAAGGATACTGGCGGCTCCACTTAACACTTCTTCTATCAACCTCTGTTCATGGCCACGCTTGCATCTAACAACCTCTGTTCATGGCCACGCTTGCACGCAGCGCGCGCTTTGTACATGGCTTACATAATCCTGCACGCGCGTGACCCTTACCTGTGTAAAGCTTTGGTATTCGGTCCTTGCATAGAAATCATTGGATGCCGCCCTGCTATGAGTTCGCAAGTAACCGATTCACTTGCACTTGGTCTTGATCAACTGCACAAGGGTGGCTCATCCCCTTCTTCAGGGCATGGTGCGACGGATATGTGTCAGGCAGGTCAAGCCTTTACTAAGTGGCGTTCATGTCCTTCTGGCCTTCTATCAGACTTTCCAGAAGGGGGCCCTGGATGTCTCTAGCTTGGGCACACACATATTCTACATATCATCTGTACGTACGTTTGCATTAATACGTGCGTTGTGTATATGTGCATAAATATGTACTTGTTATATATTCAATATGCGTGTCTTTACGTTGTGTTCGCCTCGGCCCCCAGGGCCGGGAAGCGGTCAGATCGGGATCCTCCAAAACCCCATCCATTAGTCCGCCCCCACCCTCCTTCCCCGAACATGGGATGGCCAAAATCCCTGCTCCAGCAGCCTCCAGTCCGCCTGAAGCGAGCCTGGAAGCCCCAGGGCAAGGCAGCCTGCGGGAAGACTACGGGCAAAGCTCGGGAATAGACAGGCATGCTGGCCGGCAAACCGCGCAACCCCAAGCAACCATCCTTGAAACTTTCTCCCCGTCAAGCCTGTGTGAGCGGCGGCTAGGCCGCGGGCTGGCCGGCAAACCGCGCAACCCCCTAGCCGCTTCCCCACCATTGTGGCTCCCTGCCTGAGCTCTGCGGACGCACGGGGCAGGCAGGCCACGAGCAAAGGACAACCCGCTCAAGCTTTGTGTCCCACGCTAAGCAAGGGCGCCCAATTGCGGCCAAACGTGGGGAAGACTGGCTCAAGACTACACGAACAGCGCGGAAATGCTCCGAAGCAAATCAAGCCTTGACATTGTCAATTGGCTTCCACAGGCCAAGGGCACGGTTGCCAGCAGGAATACTTTGCGGGAAAGCAACTCAAGGTACGCTCGGCTTCCTGGGCGTGGGGAAGCGGGCGCGGCGAAACGCGTGTTGGCCCTCAAGCCTTGAAGGGCGCTGCCAACGCTGCAGAGGCGCGCGCGAGTTTTCCGCACGTAGCGATTTTGCTTCCGCAAGGAGTGATGAGTTCGCCTCCGCGAGCAGTGATATGCCTCCACAAGAAGGGATATCCTATACTCTTGCAGTGATCTTGTTGCTGCAAGACGTGACAAGTCTGTGTATGTGTATATTAAATATATACATATGTAGCGAGAGAGATACGTGTGCTCCCCCCAGTGACAGCGCGACATCTGCCAGGGCACCGCTAGGGGTGAGTCTGCCAGGCGCATGAACCAGGCTTTGGGCAAGAAGGGCAGCGCGCAGCGGCAGCGCTGGACCCCCTGCAGCACCTGGACTCTTTCATCCTTTGACTCAGCTGGCTGAAGGACAAATGGCCAGAGGGCCCAGTTTTATTTATTCTTAAAAAAAGAAACAAATGTTTGGAACCTTGACCAAACATGGTTGCCACATCAGCAAAAATAGTGAAACCAAAAGGTCAGAAGGTCGATTCGCTTTGGTCAAGTGAGTTGATGGTTTTAGGTGCCGCCTTTTCGGTCCTTTTTGGTGTCATTCTTTGATGTCTGTTGGCAACGTGCCCACGCTGCGACGTGTTTTTTGCCGCCATGGATTGAAACCGAATTGGCCATTGCTTGAGCCAAATAGGCTTGAACCCAAGATCAACCCAGAAGAACCCCTGGGTTGAAGTTTCCTTTTGAATCAGCGCCGGGAGTGAGAGTTTCCTGTGTGCAATACCTCCGCTCACTTGGGTCCTTACAGATCGAGTCCCAAGCCGCGGAAATCATCCCAAACTTGGACTCTGGTGACACATGTGTGTGTGTGTATGTGTATGTGTGGCGTCTCTTGTTGATGGGCTTCAAAGGAACACAAAAGGTTGCCAAACATTTGGGAGGGTCCAACTCGTGTTGCCACACCGCGAAACTCATGCTTAGCTTCCTGTTTTCTGTCACAGGAAAATTCAATCGGCAATCAACCATGCCCCCCCCTTCACCAGCTCCTTTCGTAAGAGAGGTGAATCCCTCAGTTACCATTTGTGTGGGTCTTTTGAGGGTAGCCCTTCAACCTTGGTTGCAAAAAGGACCAAAAGGAATACCGACACAATTTCGGGGATCCCAAGCCCCCAGAATGAGACACATACCTGACATACCCATTTTCGTCGGAGACCTAACATCTCACGCCTTGGAGGGCGTCGGCCGTAGCCGGAGCAGCGAGGCGAACTTAAAGCTCTCCTGCGTTGGAACGGGCCAGACCCACTCGCACGGCGCACAAGCCACACACTACGCATACACACACACACACGCATATTCAGCCACATATAGGCAAAACTACCAGACTCTCTCTCTCTCTATATATATACATCATATAGTATCAATCACCCTCATCCGGCATACAGAGAAACACAACAAACACAGAACTCGCTCTGACACACGCTCACGTCCGCTACTTGGTATGCTCACAAGTGATGTGATTGATATTGCTGGTGTGTTCCGCCTATCAATGAAACCAGACACATTTTTTGTCCTCTTCGAATATCAGCTGCGGTTGGCCACGCAGACCCATCTGCCACTGTAAGGTTTGTTGTGCTGGTTGGTCGCTGTTCTCAGCTGTGGTCCTGTCCCTTGCTCAAGTTGCTGTAGTGGATAGCGTGTTGCAAACCATGGTGGGCAAACATGTTGGTGCACCGCTGTCACTCACACACTGTCCATGTGTTGTCCGCTGTGGATTGCTTCTGCGTTGCGGCGATCATGGCAACAATGTCTTCTTGCAGTCCAAATTGGGATCTGTAGTGGGTGGATCTTGTGGCTGCGGAAGCGCTAGCTGCTGGTGCTGTGTCTGATACTGCTAATGCCAGTTGTTGTCATAATGCGGCGATTGTAAATCGCTACTCTGCATTGGTTGGCCATGTGTACAGGTTGTCCGCATCCGCAGCAAACATTGGTTGCGTGTTTTGCGTTTGATCCTTTGACTCCTTGTTTGTTTTTGTAATGGGATTTGTCCTTTCCCTTGCGCTTTGTTGCTGAATGCTACCGTTTCCTTGTTGTCCTGTGAATGGATTGCCTTGTGCGGTTGACTGCGCGGATTTCATTTCCTCCTTTGTGGTTGTGCTGGTGATTGTAGTTCACGCTTGATGGAAGCGCTTGCTTGGTGAATGATGAGGGCCCTCTTGGTCTCGTTGAGCAGTAGTGCCTTTTTAGCAGCGTCTAGTAGCCGAGTGGTATCTTGTTCGTCCTGGCGAGTTGAAGCTCCCATGGCTCTCAAGTGAAAGACCTGTGAAGTGTAGCGGCAAGTTACGCGACGTGAGAGAGCTAGTGTAGGTTAAGAGTAAACACAAATAATTATATGATGTACATTTATGTGTATGCAGTTAAGGGTACACCCTCAGAGGTACATGACAGCAGTCCTTGACTGACGATACCTGAAGTGAGTGCAAACTCTCCCAGCCCCTCCAAGGATCCTCGATGATGCCCGCTGTCAAAACCCACTGCACTGCCTCGATCAGCCGGGGGCTTCGAAATTCCATTTCAATCTTGGGTCATATAATCTGGATTTGTATTTGTTTGAGGTGTCCCTTCTCGTGCCGAAATCGGCAAGAGGGGTCCCCCTTTTTGCCGATTGGCTGGGAAGGGTGTTAAGCTCCAACACTCTAAGGGCCAGTGTGGCTGAGACGACGGCACTGGGCAAAGAGGCAAAGTGACCCGAGCCGATGGTCAATATGAGCCCGGCGGATCTGGAGGCGTGAAGCGACTTGTCTGTTGCGATACTGTAGGGATCCAAGGAGCACTTCGCAACAACTTCCGGTCGCAAGATCTAAAAGAGCCGCCCCGCACGCGCGTCATTCAAGTCCAGGACACCAGGGTGTGCTGAAGGGATCCACGCTGAACACGGTGCAGTGAGATAATTGGCTTGGGTGCTGCGATGCTGTAATGCTGCAATGGAGCGGGGGGGCGCTTGGGCAGTGCAGTGATGTACATTGGTGCGATCCCACGAATAAAATGAGCTGCTACCAATCCTGTTGCACTCCCTGCGCTGTAGTCACAGATCCTTCGTGCGTTCCCGGTCTCTTGCCAAAGAGGTCTATACAACTTGGAATTTGATATCTGTCTGGGTCCGCGTCCCGCCCGGGGTTGGTGAATGCAACAACACTTTTTCGTTCGTCCTTCCTGTCTCGCAACAGTCTTTTGCCTGACACTGAGTGGGGCAAGGCCTTGAGCTATGGAGTTTTGAATCGCGACGCTGTTTGCTTCTTGTGCCGCTCTCGTTCCGGACTGCTCCAAAGCCAAGTGTTCGAGCCTCTTAAACATTGAGCGTGTAACTCCTCACAGCGTATGGCAAAACCCAACGCAGCAACCTCATTGACCGGCCCACAAAAGCAACAAGCAAAGCAGCAAACGAGCCAATGGACTAAAACCTCATTAATCGCCCGACCCAAAGAATCAAGCAACTGCAGCGTGACATGCCGGGGCCTGGCACTCAGAAGTAAGCCCCAGCCCCAAAGTTTCCCGAAACGAGGCACATTGACCATGATGCACCTGGTGGACGTGTAGTCCCAAGGCCTCGGCAGAACTTAGAATGAAGGCGGTCCCAACAAAAATCAGACCTTGGGGACATATGCGCAGGTACAACCTTGTAGGGAGCCATGATTGGATCAACTTAGCGTCAGTTGGCGGCCCAATTATAAGGAACCGCCTCGTGTGCTTGGGGGGAATTCTATCCAACTCAGTGTAGACTTCTTTCGAGCTTTGGTGGACGGGGCTGGGTTGAATGCAGCCAAGATATAAGTGTCCAAAAAGTACATACTATTACTATGTGTATGTACAATATAATATATATATATATACATAAATAAGTAAGTAGGTAGGTAGGTAGGTAGGCAATGGGAAGGTAGGTAGGTAGGTAGGCAATGGGAAGGTAGGTAGGTGGGTAGGTGGGTGGGTGGGTGGGTGGGTGAGTGGGTGGGTGGGTGGGTGGGTAGGAAGGTATAAAGGTACTGTGTATGCATAATGTGTATTTGCGTGCAGGGTTCAACTGCCATGAACACAAACAGTCAGGCAAGGCTGACTGAATCATGCTGGCTTGGGTGTTGTGGCTGAAAAGGAACAACGGAACAACGTGACAATGGAAGCGTTCATCCAATGCATAAAGATTTACTCCCAAAGAGCATCACATCCCAATGTGATTGAACTTGAACAAAATGCAGCTCGCTGATGAGCGTCAGAGCAAGTTGTTGTTCCATGCAACCACGGCTGACAGGCGGGAAAAGATGCACCTTCTGGCTAACCATTCAAACATCAAGCCAGTCGTTGGAGACTTCACGCCCTCTGTGGCCCAAGCCAGTTGTCGGCCGGATACGTGATGTAGCCTTGGCAAAACATGCAAAGCTACGCATAGGGCAGCGCCTCCCCCTCACACACATACACAAACAGGAATACAAATACAAAGGCACAAGCACAAAACACACACACACACAAACAAACAAACAAACAAGCACGCAAAGAGAGAGAGAGAGAGAGGAAGAGGCACACACAAAAACACACTGACAAACAGACACACACACACACACACACTCGCACGAAGACACACACACACACAAAGACACACTGACAAACACACACATACAAACGCACAATTGCACAACACATATACACAGAGGCGCAGAAAGAGAGAGAGAGAGAGAGGGAGAGAGAGAGAGCGAGACACACACACACACACAGAGATGCGCGGCAGGCAGACGACTGCGGAAAAGAGACAACCATCTCAAGATTGTCTCAAACATGCAAAGGACCAGGCCATCCGTTTTGTCATCCGTGCCATTCGTGCAGCCACCCAAAAGCTTGCTATCACACACAAACACTGGTTCAATCTTTGACCATGAGCTTTCGACTTTAAGGGTTCGCCACAACAATAGTTGCAGCCAAACGAGCCCGTGGCGGCAAAATGGGGTGCCCCGGGCTAATGGCAAACATTGGGGCTCCGCTGACTGCTCCTGCCGAAAGGCTCGTATGCTGCGTTTTGGATCTGTGTTGATGAAACAACACCAAACCTGCAATCAAGCTGGCAAACGCCAGGTTTGCAGTAGAGATCCATGAGCATGATGGACACCCAAGGGGCTCCCCTCCTACCTGCAGCGATATTTATTTATCCCGCCTGAAGCTGACTTGCCCGAAGGGCCGGGGCAAAAAAAGATTCACCTACTGGAATACTCGACCAACAGACCAGCGAGTTGAAGCGATACCCCGTCCGAAAGATGGCTAACCCTCTAAAAGTGGTTTCCATTGAACCTGCTGTCGGAAAAAATCCGCAAAGGATCGAAGTGAAATGGAGGAAACGCTGACTGACTCCGATCACTTTTCCCATTTCCTCCACCCCGAGGCTTCGGCAGAGGGGGTCCAGCCAAGCCCAGAGCTGGACCATGGCCCAGTTGCAGAGGGAGCACATGCCCACACTCAGTGTGCCGGTAGTGAACCACACGCTGACCTGGGCAATGAACCAAAGACGTGACATGGAAAAATGAGGTAGAGAAATGATGAATTCGGATTTGGATTTATGTCCAACTACTGTTGACGGGGGTCAAAACTCATAGCTTGGGAGCGAAGCTAAGGTGGACTCAGCAGTGAAATCTCAGCTGACGTGTTTGAGGCTTCAGGGCATATCTGGCAAAGATTGGGCATGAAGCCCCACAGCACAATCGGCTTCACGTGTTTTTGCTGCAAAAGAAAAGGCAACTTCCGACCGACCCTCGCATTGATCTGACGCGTACTCTCTGACAGCAGCTGTTTGCAGGTTAAAGTGACACGCGTGAAAGATGTTGTTTGCATCTTCGATACTAGATGCCTCCCCAAGAACAGTCAGCTTGGGGCAACGGTTGACTCTATAAAGTCTATGCTATCTTATTTATGGCTATAACAAGGCGGAATCCTGTTCGGCCCGATTCAAGTTGAAGCTTCCTGGGAGGTACTGCCATCTAGCCCGCAGTTTGAAGGAAATTGAAGCCACCCGCTGAGCTGCCGTTGTGAGAAGCGCCAGGGCTGGGAATGTCATCGCACTGTTCTAGCCCTATGGGGAAGCTGGTTTCGATATCAATGGCTCCGGTGTCTTGCGGCGACCGTCGACCCGCGCCAAGAGGCTAAGAGACCCAAAGGCACCTCGCCTGGTCGTGGGGGAGGCGCAGGGATGACCCAAGCCTCCCTGAGTGGCCAACAGAAGCCCAAACTGTTCCTCCACTAAAATGGTCTTCCCGAAAAAGCAGGTCCGGGGACTCAGGGGGGTGAGAAATAGAAATCAGTCGGTCAAAGTTAGAAATGAACACCCATAGCAAGTTCAATCTGCAGTCAATCAGCCTGGTGAATGTGCCGATGCTGAAAATGGCAGCGCGAGGTATCAGCATTCAGGGCTCATTCTCGCAAAGCCTCTTTGGCTCGAGGTGTTGTGGCAAGAACAGAAACCATGTTGTGATCGGGTGGCGTGCTTGGGGGGGCAAAGGCCTAGTGGAAGCAAGTTGCTTGCTACAAGATGTCGGCACAAGTTGGCACAGCCATGAGGGCTGTCAAGAGTCCTGCCTGTAGGGCAGAATCATGACCACTCAACGTTGACATGATCTTTGAAACACATTGCTGTGAGTTTGAATGACCTAGCGTGAGGATGGACAGGCCCAAATAGAGCCCCTGAAACTTCTTGCTGAGGCTCGCCCGAATCTGCTTCCAGCCGCTTCCATGAAGATGTTCACGAAATCACACGCTTTCTTTCAAAGATACACAAGCCGGCATTGCGGCAAACTGGCAGCGAACGCTGCCGGTAGCAGCGCCAATACAAAATAAACAAATCGAGAAGGTTTGAGACTAGGGACTGAGAAACCCTAAGAATTTGATGTCCCTTTAAATCAATCCCCAACCCCCCCCCATTGGACAAGCTTCCGCCCAGTCATCACCAACCACCGCGCCTTCTCTGGTGGTGCTTCGCCAGAGGTACCAAACCCACCTGAGACTGCCGTGGGATCTGCATCTGATACACATCTCCTCATTGGTGTGGCTCGTTTTTCCCAAGGTTCGGCAGCCGTTTCAAGGTTGGTCTAAAGGGAACCAAATGGAAAACCACATTTTGCGGGTCCCCCAATTTCAGGACGCGCCCATATCTGAAGAGTCGCAAAAGAGTTTCGGGCACGGGAGCACGGGTGGGGAATGTTGTTTATTGCCGGTTATTCTCTCTGCGCTCTCACGCCAGAAGCGTGTCCACGCATACGTGCCGTGCCATTTCCTCACGTGCGCATGTCAAATCGAGTTGGGGATCTTTTTCAACACGGACGAGGCTGAACCGACAGGTGGCCCTACTTTTGATGCAGGCAGATATAGCCGTAAAGCGGCTGCAGCGGTTTCCTGGTCTATGCCAACCTGCCGTCCCTTCGGAAAAGCTTGCGCAAAGGCCCCAAGGCGGCCTGCGCACGGCCTTGGAGACACAAGAACCATCCTACGGTTTAAGTTTTCCGGATAGGGCCGGCTTTATGGGTCGAACATGATGTAGATGAGTCTATGTGAAAGCCTTGGTCTCAGTTCGGAATTTCAAGTCTGGGAAACTTAGTGTTCAGCTCCGAAGGGTTAAGGTTGGTGGACGTCAGAAGGGCAGAACGAGAAGGCTGCCAAGAGTCCATAAGGATCCGATCCACCAAAAGAACCTCCACGACCCTCCGCAAAATGAAACTCAAGCCGAGGGGCATCAAGGCAGCGATGAAGGTACCTTGCCGAGAGCACAACTGCCAAGTGGCTCTCAAAATTGGAGATACAGCTGAGCGGATGTAGATGGCACTGTTTCCCCATTTTGGCTTAGTCATCTCCTTGACCTACCCACATCCGGGAATTCTGCGCCATCTACTTTCCACCCTGGTGTACCCACAAAATGGCTGGTTCACCTCCACCCGAATTTCGGAGATGCCATCTGGTCGAGTGAGATGGGGCACGCTGGGTTCCAGTCGGCTGGTGACTGGGATTCCTGAATGAGTTGGCTCGGATCTGCATTGGTCACACACACACATGGGTGTGCCTTTTTTAGGCACCTCATTTCGGGTGCTTTCAAGGGGAACTCAAAAGGACACCAAGCATCTTAGCCATTTTCGGGGTCCCCCTTTGACACAAACCCATGTTAAGGTTGCCGCCACCAATGGACTGTTGAAAGGGAAGGAATGGGGCACCGAGGTGGTTCCATGGACCTTTGCCGCGCGACAGAGCTTGACGTCCCAGGGACCTTTTGAGCACCACGTGAGACCGGTGAGGATCGGTTCGAGCAAAATGGCCCGAAATGTAATCAAAATCCCATGTCACGGCCTCCATTTAGCCAGAGAGTAAAGTCCCTCGTCAAAACCAAGGCGGAGGGCAGCAAGTAATGTAGCACTGCGGGGTAACCCACACACAGCTGCTCCACCTATTCCCTGGTTGCAGGGTAGCAGCTTGGTACCCGGACGCCAAATGAACTCTCTGCCCTTCTGGTTTGATCATTGTGTCTGCCAAGCTTCAAAGGTACATCCGCGAGACGCACCACCACGAGCTCACGCAAAGACCCTTGTCTGACCACCTGGGCAGCCAAAAGGATCGAGTTAATCCGGTCGCATCGTGAACTCCAGTGCACCCTTGACAATCGCGGATCAAGCAGCCCTGTCAGAAGGGCAAAAGACCGAAGGCTGTCTAGCGGGCAAATCAATAAAACCAACCCAAAAGTTCTGCCACTTGTTGGACTTACTTAGAGCAAGCCTGGCGCTGGCTCAAAAGATCTGAGCAAAGAAACTATTGCCCGATCCTAGCAAAGCCACCCTCCCAAAGACTGGGAGCATCTAGTGGCTGAATAAGAATCGGGAGTTTGCTCATCGGTAACCTGTTGAGGTCGTCAGACATGCAGATTCAATCAACTGGGCGCTCCTTAAGGACATGCAAAATATGCTTTGGTATGGGTGGAGCAAACTAAAAAATGCTTTACTCTCTGTCATTGTCCGCAGCTTGGCCAATGTCATCGTTGTCACTGCCCCATTCTCCGTGTCATTGTCCGCAGCTTTGCCAATGTCATTGTTGTCACTGTCCTTGACCTGCAGTACTCCTGATGGTCATTTGCCACTCGTGCAGCAGGTCCAGGTCCTGGCTTAAGATGGTGTTGCCACAGGATGTGACTGAAAGCCAGGGTTTTGTTGATGGCCCGCTGCCATGGTTTGTGATGCTCCAGAAGCCGCGCTATGCCCAGCATTAGCCTGAGTGGCAGGAGGGGGTTTTCGTCGGGTAGAAAGAAACAGGTGCTCCAACTCAGACTCTCTCCCTGCCAGGACTTCCATTCCACGATTGCTCGGTGTGGGCCTGAGTGAGGTTGCCATGCACCCTCGAACTTTCAAATGTCACGGGGTCGTCGCTGCCCAGGAGTCGTGTCGGCCACCAGGATGCTGAGGTGGAGGCGCCGCTGCCGTTTTGTTGCTGTCGCATCGTCATGACCACTGCAATCATCATCCCACCATTGTCCTTGTGCTAGACTACCACTACCACCACCACCACCACCGCCACCGCCGCCAGCACCAGCACCTAGCACCTAGCACCAGCACCAGCACCAGCACCAGCACCAGCCCACTTCCTTCCTTCCTCCCTTCCTTTTTCCGTAGTCTTCGGTCCTCTTCCCGTAATCTTCCGTCCTCTTGCCCTAGTAGTCTTCTAGTCTTCCGTCCTCTTCCGTCCTCTTCCAGTAGTCTTCCGTCCTCTTCCTGTAATCTTCCGTCCTCTTCCCGACATATGACATAGGGCTGACGGGACTCGAACCCGCGACCTCCCCGGAAGCACGCAGCCGCCGCAGGCACGCTGCCATTGCGCCACAGCCCTGTTCTTCCACTGTGTCCAAAATGCATTTCCTGATGATACTTATCATCATCATCATCCATTTCAAGTGTGGCCCATTGATGATTCAGATTCAGAGGATGCCACAATGATTGGTATTTTCACAAGGTCATCATTGATCATCATCATCATCATCATCATCATCGTCACCACATCATCATCATCATCATCGTCCTCATCCTCATCATCATCATCATCATTATCATCATCATCATTACGATCGTCATCATCATCATCACCATCATCATCATAATCATCATCATCATCGCCATCACCATCATCATCACCATCACCATCATCAGCATACTCATCACCTCATCATGCATCACGATCACCAGCACCATCTTCAGCAGCAACAGCAAACAAGCTGCAGCTTCGACATCATTAGCAGCCGCAGCAGCAGCTGTTTGCTGCTTCTGCCATTGCCAATGCTGCTCATGCTGGTTTTTGCTCCTGCTATTTCTGTTGTTGATGCTGGCGCCTGCTGTCGGTAGTGTCCGAGATGCCGCCGCGCGTGGTCTTGCTGTTGAAGCTGCCCTTGGAACTGGTTATGTTGTGTTGGCTGCGTGGCAGTGATGTGTTTGTTTGGGTATTGTGTCTGATTTGTTGTTTTGTGATGCCAAATTCGCTGGCAGGCTGCTCGCGCCCATCGTCGAGATCGGTCCAGGCCCAGGTCTCGCCCATGAATTGGCAAGGACACCTGCCACTTGAAGCGACTGCACTGTCATTTATCATTTGTCAGTGTCGTGTTCGACACAATGTTGCAGAACTTTGTTTGTGTCAGGCTTTGCCAGTCTTCTTTCTGAACTTGCCCAACATGGCCACGGCCATGGCTCAGGTCACCCTGGCCCAGTTTGTATGTGTGCTGTTGCCGCAGTTGCGCAGTCAATGATGACAGTGTCGTGCTTGTTGCGGGCTGGTTGTGGGAATCATGGTGGCCACCGCAGCTGTGTCCAGCCAAGCGTGTCATTTGTCAGTGTCATTGTCATTGTCGGCAGGATGCAGGCAGGCCGCTTGTTGTCATGAAAACTTTTGATATCAATGTCAAATTAAATTGTTTGCGCGCAATGCCATCCGTCAGTGTCAGCTGTCTTGCCGCCTGTCACTGCCCCGCGCAGGATGTGGTCGTATGGCCGGACTTCGTGATCATCATGGGCTGGGGGAAGAAGAAGAAGCAGCGAGTTGCGCCTTGACAACACACTTGTCTGTCAGTGTTTTGTGTGTATTTAGTCAGTGCTTTTCCAATTCTCATTTTTCATAATATTTGCAAAAAAATTGCCATTGTCAGTCAAATTTACAGTGTCATTTAGTTTGTCATTGTCACAGTTGTTTCCTGGGCTGAGTCGGTGCCCTTCGACGGACGAGTGCTGCAAGTTCCCGGCGACCTGTCGATGCTGGGGCAAAGCGTGGTCTATCACGACCTGCTGGAACTTCTCCCGGAGTCGCAGAGAGGTGAGCTGGGGCAGCGCTGCAAGAACCCTGGCATCTTTGAGGCCACTCAGAGGTCTGCGGCTTGCTAGCATTGGAAACTATTTTCCGGTCTGCCGTGAAACTTGTTTTGAATAAATGTTTACATGTAGTCAGTCAGTCTCAGTGTCAGTGTCAGTTAGTCAGTGTCACTGTCAGTTTAGTCAGTGTCAGTGTCAGTTAGTCAGTGTCAGTGCCAGTTAGTCAGTGTCAGCCAGTTTCATCACTACGAGGTGTTCAGCCACCCCGGGGCGAAGAGGGCGCTGAAGAGGATCTTGGAGGCGCCAGCGGAGGTGGTGCTGATCAACTGCCATGCTGGCTGGCACAGGACACCGGCCTTCTGCATGTTGCTGAGCGCATTGCTCACTGTACCTTGTCAATGTCTCACTGTCATTGCTCATTGTCGTTGCTCGAAACAAATATTATTTGATTAAGTGGTTGATTGCTTATTTTCATGTCTGTCATTTGTCGGCTCAACAGTGTCCGCTGAGGCATGTGGCGTCGGCAGCGTCTGCCTCCTGCCCAGCCTGTCGGAGGACCTTGAGTACGACTTCCGTGTGGCAATGTAGTTTGCTCGGGATAAGAACAAGACCTTCGAATCCGCGCTTCTTGCCCACAACCGGCCAAGTGTAATAATTTAATGATCTGTTGAATTGAGTGTCAGTGTCAAGCCATCCGCCATCTTAGGATTCGTTGGCAGGATTGGGCTGCTGCCTGCACGGGATCCTTCTTTGGCAACGGCCGCCAAGTAACCTGGCCCTGGCAAGACGCCCAGCTCCAGGTGGTGAGGGTGTGGGAGGAGTTGAACGGCCAGCGCCTCGCCCGCGACAAATGTTTGTATTTTTGCGAAACGAATATCATGTTGATTGTCCTTGTCGAATTTCAATAGTCAAACATCATCACCACCTTCGAGTAACTGTTGAGTAACTTGGTCAGTTTCTTCGGTGTCAGGCTCCTGCTCCTGTCAATGTAGAGTATTGGATGGGCTTGATTATTGTCATTTGGTATCATCTGCCAAACAGCACCCATCGTCGAGCGTTGAGGATGTCCTGTCAAAGTATTGAGGCAGTAGTGTCACGGGAGTGAGTCTGGCACTTGTCACTGTCAGCTGTGATGTTTGAGTGTACTTTGCAAACTTCCTGCCAGGATCCATCTCCGCATTCGGAACCAGTCCCTCCATGATAAGAACATGGCGGCAGGTTCAAGGCCGGCCAAGGGGCCAAAGCCGGTGGAGGAGGCGGAGACGCCGGGTGCCAGTGGCAGCGTCAGTGTCACGGATGATCAAGACCCGGCGGATGTCAGTGTCAAGGATGAGCAGGAGCCGGCCGTCAATGTCAGTGTCAAGGATGAGCAGGAGCCGGCCGTCAATGTCAGTGTCAAGGATGAGCAGTGGGAGGAGGTGAGCGTCATTGAGAAAGATGACCAGCCGGGGCCACATCCGCCAACCCAGCAGCATAACCTGCTGGAGGATGAGGTTGTGCCACCCTGCAGCAATTGGCAGCTATTCGTGGTTGTTAAACTTAGTTGTCGACATTGACATGACAATGTGACAATGACCGCAGTCTAAGTCTTGCGACTCAACAGTTGTTGTGTTGAACCGGCCAGGCAAAGCATCCTGGATGACAGCTGGATCCAGCCCACATTGAGGAGCGAGCTGGCCGGCATCCCGAGAGCGCGAGCCCTTCGGCTTTTGCCGCTTGGCTTCAGCTTTTCAGCTTTCACGCAGCAATGTCATGAGCGCAGGGAAATTGTCATTTCCTTGAACTCGATTTCAACAATGCACCGTCCCCGAGGATGAAGCTTGTCGAGTTCGAAGGCCGGCCCCATGCGCCGCGCAACATCAACGGCTGGCTGAGAGCAGCAATTCAAGAAGAGGCTCGATCTTGAACATGAAAGAACGCCTTCTTCCGTCGTGCGAGTGTGCAGAAAAATGATGGCGGCCGGTGCCTTCTAGACATTGACATATGACAATGACGGATGCCGCCTTGTCAAATTGCCATTTGTCATTGCCTGTGAATGGTCTTGCAGCCTGTTGCTTGCCAGGTTGCCGAATGCACGGACTTGCCAGAAACCCAGTCAGGGCGTCATTGTCATTGGCTGTCATTGTGTGCCAAACTGCGGTTTGTAAAGGGCATTTATGATCCTATGCATGTCCTGGCATGTTGTGAGATTGCGAGCAGTGATCAAGGCACTTGTGTGGTTTGCGACGTTCCTCCAGCCGGAGCAGGCGCGATTGGCTGA